TTGTCATATTTGAATTCAGCACATCAAAATGCATAATAAATAGCACATTTTATCTCTGAAGCAGATGACTTCTCAAAAATTGTAGACCAGTGTAATCATCAAGTGATCCATCCCCTGTTGCTCATTCCCAGCTTCTGGCAAACAGAGGCTAGGGACACCATTCCTGCCCATCCTGGCTAATAGCCATTGATGGACCTAAGAACAGTATTGGATTTTTGGTGTCCTAAGAGGTTTGTGCATATGTTGTTTATTCAGCTGTTGCCACCAGCTAATTTTCTTTATTTTTTTTCTCAGCTCTTCCCCGGAGGGGGTGTGAAAGGGCTTGAGGGTACCCCACAGGAAGGAATTCCCAAGTGCGCCTTTCTGGTTTCAAAGGCGTTTTCTGCACTTGGGTGGTGACAGCATCTACCCATCCAAGGTCAGAGAGAAACTGTAACCTTGGGAGTTTAATACAAGCCTGGAGTGGACAGTATTAATTTTTAAAATCCTTGCGGGGGCCCCCCTTCTGCACTCAAAGTGCCAGAGTAGGGAATCAGGCTTGACAAGCTGTTATAGAATGTCCTTTGTGGGGATCCATACTCACAAACCCTTTGTGATGAGTCACCTCATATCCCTATGACATCGTGGCAACTATCAGCAACCAGCTCAGTCTCTTTCTGCTCTTGAGACAGGAAGCACCACCTCTACAGTACTCTTGGAGTGGGCAGAGACAGGACAACCTTTTAAAAAAAAACACTTAAAAAAAGGCGCTACAAAACCCCCAACTTGTTTGGTTTGGTTTCATATGCCCACCTGTCTTGCAGGTCTCTGGTGGGAATTGCCAAAGGCAGGTGGAAAGGGCTATGGAAACCATCTCCCCACATTTGAGCGTCTCACTAATCAAATCTCTCTCATCTCTGCTGGTAAGTGCATCCTCCCCTATTCAAGTGGACTTCCATCCCAGAGTATAGATCCACAGCCCAGGAATATTAATGGAAAGATTCCCTTTGACCTCAGTGGCAGTTGGAGCAAGCCCCAGAAAACCAGCCATGGTGCCTCTAATAAATATAGGTTAATAAAGGCATATAAAGGCAAGGGGCTTCCTCCAGAGCAATATTTGCCTCAGCCTGAGACAAACAACTGCTTGCTTTGCCCTCGAGTTCCTGTATCGTCAAGATATTTGGACTCTCTATGCGTCAGTTTCCTGTCTTGAAAATAGAGATCACAAACCTATTATAAGGGGAACCATGGAAGAATTGAGATAGAATGTATTTCTGTCACTAATATTCTCTATATGGAACACCTCTTGATCTCAAAGCATGAGCTTAAAGCCAGCATGTTGGGGATTGAACCAGGGACCTCCAGAACTAAAAGCATAAATGGTTAGAGTTGGAGCTAAGGTTATGTAGCTGGAGGCTGTAACAGATTCTCATCCCAAAGGCAGTCAGAAGATTTTATAAATTCTTGATGAGACAAGCTTTACAATCACTTTACCCGCTACTAAAGTGCAGCCATCTCTGGGGTGAAACATAGCAGCTGTTTAACAGCACAGAGCAACAGTACATAGCAATTTAGGCCAGGACATGAAGGATAATAACTTTCCAGCTGAAGTGCACAGGGAATTAGGTAAGCACAGTGCAATCCCTAAGAGGGAATTTAACCAGGATGCTGGGCACCAATTCTGGAATTTTCCCTGAGTTTTTAACATCCACAGCAGGAGGGACCTGGAGTCGATATCTCCCTGGCTTTCAGAGATTTTTAAGGCCAAATGGGCCCCCTGTGCTCACCTAATTCTTGATTTGAGTTAATTCTGAGCTCTCTTTCTGTCTCCAGGGGATGAAGAAGATGCCTATCGACAAGGCCGAGTGGGAAGGGTATTTTGATGAGAGTGGCCACCTGGTGAAATCTCGAGATTTTATTTCATCCAACATCCTGGACAGGGTGAGCAGGGTGTGCTCTTAAATGTGACAGTCAGCAGGGAGGGCTATGCCGGGTGGGCATCGTGTGCCCTGAGGCAGGGTCTCCAGCTGCAGCAAAGAAGCACTCAGGCTGGGCACAAAGGTGGCGTCAAAACTCCTGTATCCTCCCACAGTCCTGAGACCATACTGGTGCCAGGCTGGACCCTTCCACCAGTGTAAGCGAGAGCAGTCTGCTGCCAATGCAATGCCCCTTCCACACACCTTTTCCCCAGGCCACAGCCTCTGCAGCTGGTGCAGGGAAGAATGATGTAGGAGCAGCTACACTGGCTCTGTGCCAGCCACACTTCTCCCTAGGCGAGGAGCATCCTCCAGGGGGAGGCATGAACCTGCTCCTTCACAAGGAAGGATCTGGTGTTATTTCAGCAATGCCAAACTCCATACAGGGATTAAGAGAAGATTAAGGCTCATTTCAGGACAGCTAATCCATCTGTAGGGTTGGTGACCTCCGCTGGCCATCAGACTTTAGAAGTACCACATGCTGAGGTTGCTATGACGATTTGGAATCCAAGCATTTTTTAGAAGAAATGTCGTTGATCGTTTCAAGTTTGTGCATCACTAGACAAAAAAATCACTGTGAAAAATATTAATTTTTCACTGGCTTCCCAGGAAAACACAGGAATTCCTGGCCCACTCCAATACAACCATTATGCTTATTTGGCTTTTGCATTTTGGAGTTTGTTTACAAATGACTCACTTTTGCCCAGTGAGAGAGAACATATTTTATCACAAAATAACCTGGTTTTTTTTAAACCAGTAAAAATAGCTTTTAATTTTCATCAAAGCAGCCATGGAAACCTGAGCTGACTCCGGACAACCTGGCACCTTTTCAGAGAACTGTGACAATGTCCTAGTTCCCCTTTGGCTTTGCTAGTAGTGAGAAATCTTAGTGCTCAGCCTTAAATGCAGGTAGTTAGCTCTTGTGCTGGCTCCTGCAGGCACTATCTTCCCTTGCACAACTCCACTGACCTCGGTTAACTTGCACAAAATCTGATATCTGCATATTTTGCATTTTGTTCTCCTTGTGCCTGTGCTGCAAGATTTCACCTTGTGACTCAAAAATCACCATTGCAGTGCTCTGAGCTTCTGGCTATGCTGTGCCCAGAGAAGGGTTATGGCTAGGTCTGTCAAGTAATCACAGTTAACTCATGCAATTAACTCAAAAAAATTAATTGTGATTAAAAAAATTAATCGCAATTAATCACACTTAAATTTCAATCGGTATTCTATTTTTTGTATTAAATATTTTTGGATGTTTTTCTACATTTTCAAATATATTGATTTCTATTACAACACAGAATACAAAGAATACACTGCTCACTTTATATTATTATTTTTATTACAAATATTTGCACTGTAAAAATGATAAACAAAAGAAATAGTATTTTTAAATTCACCTCATACAAGTACTGTAGTGCGATCTCTTTATTGTGAAAGTGTAACTTACAAATGTAGATTTTTTTGTTACATAACTGCACTCAAAAACAAAACAATGTAAAATTTCAGAGCCTAGTCCTACTCAGTCCTACTTCTTTTTCAGCCAGTCGCTAAGACAAACAAGTTTGTTTACATTTACAGGAGATAATGCTGCCTGCTTCTGATTTACAATGTCACCTGAAAGTGAAAACAGGTGTTCGCATGGCACTTTTGCAACCAGTGTTGCAAGGTCTTTAATGCCAGATATGCTAAATATTCGTATGCCCCTTCATGCTTCAGCCACCATTATAGAGGACATGAGTCCATGCTAAAGATGCTCGTTAAAAAAATAATGCATTAATTAAATTTGTGACTGAACTCCTTGGGGTATGTCTCCTGTTCTGTTTTACCTGCATTCTGCCATATATTTCATGTTATTGTAGTCTCGGATGATGACCCAGCATATGTTGATTTTAAGAACACTTTCACAGCAGATTTGACAAACTGCAAAGAAGGTTCCAATGTGAGATTTCTAAAAATAGCTACAGCACTCAACCCAAGGTTTAAGAATCTGAAGTGCTGTCCAAAATCTGAGAGGGACAAGGTGTGGAGCATGCTTTCAGAAGAGTTAAAAGAGCAACACTCCAATGCACAGGGCCGGCTCCAGGCACCAGCGCAGCAAGCAGGTGCTTGGGGCGGCCAACGGAAAGGGATGGCACGTCCGGTTCTTCGGCGGTAATTTGGCAGCGGGTCCCTCAGTCTCTCTCAGAGGGAAGGACCTGCCACCGAATTGTCGTTGAAGAATGAAGCAGCGGCGGTTGAGCTGCCGCCAAAGTGCCACCGATCGCGGCTTTTTTTTTTTTCCACCACTTGGGGCGGCAAAAACGCTGGAGCCGGCCCTGCCAATGCAGAAACTACAGAACCCAAACCACCAAAAATGAAAATCAGCCTTCTGACATCTGACTCAGATGATGAAAATGAATATGTTTCGGTCCGCTCTGCTTTGGATCATTATCAAGCAGAACCTGTCATCAGCATGGATGCATGTCCTCTGGAATGGAGGGACATATGAATCTTTAGGGCATCTGGCACGTAAATATCTTGCGACACCGGTTACAACAGTGCCATGTGAATGCCTATTCTTACTTTCAGGTGACATTGGAAACAAAAAGCAGGCATTATCTCCTGCAAATTGTAGCAAAACTTCTTTGTCTGAGCGATTGGCTGAAGTAGGACTGAGTGGACTTGTAGGCTCTAAAGTTTTACATTGTTTTATTTTTGAATGCAATTATTTTTTGTACATAATTCTACATTTTTTAAGTTCAACTTTCATGATAAAGAGATTGCACTACCATACTTGTATTAACTGAATTGAAAAATACTATTTCTTTTATTTTTACAGTGCAAATATTTGTAATAAAAAATAAATATAAAGTGAGCATTGTACACTTTGTATTCTGTGCTGTAATAGAAATCAATATATTTGAAAATGTAGAAAACATCCAAAAATATTTAAATAAATTGTATTCTATTATTGTTTAACAGTGCAATTAAACAGTGCAAATAATTGTGATTAAGTGTTTTAATCATAATTAATCGCAATTAATTTTTTCAGTTGCTTGACAGCCCTAGTTATGGTTAGAGCCAATTGGAAAATGCCAATTATTTGTCATGGGAAATTTTAAAAATATTTGTTTTGAAATTTCCTGTGAAAATGTTTCAGTTTTGTTGATGAAAGAACTGAGAGTAAAAGCCAAGAAACTTTTGAGTTTTACAACACCATTTTCAGTAAGAACGATCAGTAACAACTTACCCAAGATTTTTGCTTGTATACCAAAGTTGTTTACCTCATTCTCCTCCCTCTCCCCCTCATTAAAATTAAAAGTTTTTTTTAATTAAAAAATCAGGCCAAAATAAAATTCAATTTTTTTGCTAAAACTCTGTTTTCATCAAAAAGCTGTTTTCCATCCAAAAAACGTTTTGACCCAAAAATGGTGACCATCTCACTTTATGGCCAAACACCAAGACATGAGGACTAAGGAAATATTCAGAGGTTTGAGGCCGCAGAACTTTCCCTGGGAAATGGGTGCCCCACTGCCCTTTGTGCCAATAAAAGCCCCCTGTATTCACTTTGCCATCCCTTTCAGGGTCTGGATCCAGCAGTGAGATCAGAGGCATGGAAGTTTCTCACTGGCTACTACTCCTGGAGGAGTTCGCATGATGAGAGGCTGACTGTTGACAGTATAAAGAGGTATGGATCTATCTGTTTGCAGTGTCCTTCTATATCGGGCTCCAGAAGGTACACAGGTGAAGCCGATGGTTTCACAAGCATCCCTGAAGATTTGATGATGATGATGATGATGATGCAGATTATGGTAGAATCTGTGAACCCCGGCCAAGGATCAAGGCCCCATTGTGCTGGGAGCTCTGCAGACAGGAAGCAAAGAAGAGAGCTCACAGTCCACATGTCAGAGAGGGCACTACAAGGAGACGAGACAGACACTCCAGGGTGAATGGGTTGGGAGAAAGAGATATCACAATTGAGCAGAAACCCATCTGTCCCAGCTTGCCACTTGCCAACCCAGTGCACCCCGATGAAGGCTAAGCATCATGGGTGGGTTCCACGGAGGGATTTAACAGGGTAAGGTGGTGGCTTTGCAGATACTGATGGGCCACGCTTATGTCAGCTTTGAATGCGGTAGAATAGATTTAATTAAAACAGGTTCTTAATCTGGTGACAAAAGTCAGGACCCTCATTGTCCACAGGTACCAGCCCCAATGGTGTGATCCCACAGCAACTGTGCTGAGCTTCTCTTTTGGTTTCTTCCCTTCCAGCCTCAGGGCTGCTCCAACTTACACTCTGTTTCCCATGGGCCTCCTATGGTCCTTGGAAAACAGACCAGCTGTAGTACCGAGCATTCGAACTATGTCCCTGAGCCACCCGCTATGCTATGACCTGGCACAGCCCCTATGCCAGCTTTGCACTGGCTGAGGAGGGAATGTTCTGAGACCCCTTTCTGTCCCCTTGAAGCTGAGTGGTACAGAATGGCCTTAGCATAAATGAGATGTAGGTTCTAGCCGTTTTAATAACAGGCTCAGTGGCTCCATTACAGTTGCATGGTGGATTTTGCACCTTTCCATGCACTCAGGACCATTACTTTGTAGAGGTCAGACATGGTGTCACGGACTCACAAACGGACTCACAGATCGTGCCCACTCTTGGCCCCGTGTGGTCCGTGGGGGGTGCCCCTTTTAGTGAGACAGCCCTTCTCGAGGGTCCACTCTCTCTCGGGGTCAGGCCCCTCCACTTCCTGGATCCGCATCTCTCTGAGCCTTAGCATGTCTGTCTCTGCCGTGGGCCCCCTCAGGGAGTCCACTCACTCTGGACCCCCGGGGCCTTCACCCCCGAAGGGGTTGATGCAACCCTGTTCTCTAGACTGGAGTGACTCTCAGCCAGCATGAAACAGGAGGATTTATTGAGAGTTGAACACAGCACAGGAAACTCTCTGACCCTCAGGCCTGGCCTCCCTCAGCACAGCACATCCCAGTCTCCCTGCATCCAGGTGGGCTCTGCCTGCTTCCCCTCTCCAGCCCCGAGCCCCCCTGCTCGCAGCTGGGCATCTGAGATCCCCGGCCCCAGGCCCCGCCTCTGTCCATTGTCTTCTCTCCAGGTATACAGGGTCGTAAACCGGGGCCTCCGCTCCTGCTTCTCTCCTCTGGCTGGAACCGGCTGGTTCGGTCACTGGGTCCTCACTCTGCAGCCCATTGTCCTCCCACTGGCCAGAACCGGCTGCGTCTCCTCAGCTGGGCCTCTGGGTCACCAGGTCGCCAGGTCACCGGTCGCTGGGGTATCCATCCTCCCGGCCATTGGCTGGGTCCCCACGTCCTCTCTCCAGTCCTCTGCAAAACACACTCCCTCTCCCCTCACCTCGTTAAACCAGTAACACCCAGGGAAACTGAGTCCCACCCCCTCCGCATGCAAACCATTGAAACTCCACAGAAAACAAGAAAAAACCCCACTTCGTCACACATGGACTGGGTGGAAACAGGTGCAGCAACTGTGCCTCAGTGGGAATGTGAACATATCTGAGGTCAAGCCTTAGGGGTCAGATCCTGCAGCAGTCTGTCCCTGAAATCCCTACTGACATCACAAGTTGCTCCCCAGATGACCTCCAGCTGTCAGCTTCTTTGCATCTCAGTTTGTTTCCAGAATCCTCTGGTCATTAGCACTTGCCTTGGAAGAGACCAGAGGGAAAAGCCTAAATGTGCAAGCAGAGCGTAGGGCTAAAGTGTTGCTATTGCTCCATGGAACTGCAGGTGAGCTCTGCCAAGGGAAACGAGGGTGGGGAGGGAGTTATTACCCATGGCAGAAGAATAACAATAAAAGAGTGGAAGAGACACCTGGATTTCCACGCTGTGACTGGGTCAGCAATAGCAGGGAGCAAACCCAGGACCTCTGCTGCACATGTGACCAGCCACGAGTGGGGTGGACAGAGTGCCACTCTGAAAGGGTGGGGGCAGTTACCATTGAAGATGGCTCCCCAGCAGGAGATGTGATTAGAAGAAGGTGGGGAGGGGCTAGTGGCTTGTCTTCCTATGGTGACCCGGTCTAACACCCCTGCATGCTGCAGTTACCTTTAGAATTTCTATTTTGAAACATTTTCTGGAGCCTTCCCTTTTCCCTGCCAAACTGTAACTGCTACATGGAGAACCCTGGCCTTCCAGAGCACCTAAGAACTTCACAGTGACGGCTGGGAGAGAGTCCAGCAGCCACTTTGTTATCAGTGTAATAGTAAATATTTATATAGTGCTATCACCCCTTTGTACTGGGTGCTGTACAAATGTAGAAGAGAGACAGTTCCTGACCTGAAGTCTACAATCTAAAAGACTGACTTTCAGGACACTATTCTGCTAGATACCAGCTGAGCATAAGGCCCCAGATCTTCCTGCTCCTAAAACACAGTCTTTTAGCTCTTGAGCTAATGGAGAATCTCTATCAGTTGTTAGCAGTATAGGACTTAGGATGTGTAAACTATGCATTCTGTCCTCTTGTGGTGGCTAGGTCAGCTGGAGATTGATGAGCCTTCCACAGCAGTGTCTAGAAGAGACAGCTCTTTTAGCTCAGAATTTAGGGCTCATATATTAAGATCCAGAGGTCCCGCATTCAATCTTCACTGCCAATGACCCACACAATGCTGTCCAACTTCACATTGGTAATGCTGACAGGTTTGCAGAGGGTAGTGGTGCGCACGCACATGCCAGTTCGTTGCAATATTAGCTAGACAACCAAAATTAAAATCTTGGTAAAATTATTAATTTTTCACAACCTAGTTGCAAAACTGGGGACAATTTCTAAATAAAACAGATCAACTGCCTCTTTCCTACCCCCCTGATTTCCTTCATTTACTGTGAATCTTCATTCACCAGGTTCTGATGGTGCAAAACTCTTACCAATCCCTTATGACGTTATGCTCAATTCTTGCAGCGTATTCTCAATAGCTACCTCCCACATTCTTTCAGGAAAAGTTACGAGGCCTTGTGCAACATGTATGACAAGATCCAACCGTTACTGGAGACAGAGCACAGGGACTTCATGCAGGTCCGCAGCTTCATCAGTAAGTTGTCACAGGGGTTGAATTGGGTGTTTCCAGGGGTAGAGGAGCAGGGGGAGAGCAGATAGATGAGTCAATGTGATTTGCCGGGTCGCTAGCCCCTTGTCACATGGATCTCCCTAAGCTCCAGTGATCACCCTTCACTGGAGATTCTGACTCAAATGGCTCAAGTACTGTGATCTGTTTGCCTTTCAGAAGTTTAAGGACACCTGTAGTTTGATTTCATTCTTCTACCTGAGCATAAGCCTTACTCAGGAGAGATCAGCTTAGCTTGACGTGTGATCATTTTCCATCTCGTCTGTTAAGCAGTATTGGACGTAACTTTATCTGGAGGCAGACCTCCAGGTGCAGTCAGGAATATTATTGTTATGATTCACTAGGTAAAACTGTTGTTTCTGTGTCATTAATGATTTGGACCACCGCCCTGACACTGTTCGAGGGGGCACTGTACTGCCAGAAGCACTGCCTTTCAAATGAGATGTAAAACCAAGGTCCTGATCACTGCTAGTCATTAACAGTCCCATGATGCTATTGGGAAGAGCAGGAGTGTTAACCCTGGTGTCCTGGCCAAATTCCAACTCAAGTAATTACGTTGCTGCTTACCTAAACTCCCCCCCTGCAGTTCCACTTTGTGATATTCTTCTAGTCCTGAACTGCAGTATTTGATTGCTTGAGCTAATGAATTCCACATCTTTGCCTGGAGCCATCAGCATTTCAGAGATGGGTCAAGTGACCCAGGGAGAGAAAGTTATATAAAGAAAGATACTAGATAGAGATGTAGTAAGAGAGAGACTAGGAGTCTGGAAATCCACTCGGGGTCAATTGCTTGTGGATGAAAGGAACTACAAAAGTGATTAGCATTATTATATTCAGATTCCCATTTAGTCTTCTCCCAGTTGTACAACAAAAGGAATATTAAACGATACTGCAAACTTAATGTTACACTGATTTGTAACTTGCATAAATCAATCAGCTGAGACAGGAAAGAGCCAGGTAGGACTGGGTGGATACTTTAGAAGCAATTGATTCTCCATCCTGGCGGAGAGCCTTAGAAAAATCAGAGTCATAGAAATGCATTGGAAGGAACGAGAGGTCATCTAGTGCAGCCCCCTACACTGACCAGGTAAGGACCAAGTAAACCTAGACCATCCCCAGATTTTTGTCCAACCTGTTCTTAAAACCTCCAATGACAGGGATTCCACAACCTCCCTTAGAAGCCTGTTCCAGAGCTTAACTCCCCTTACAGTTAGAAAGGTTTTCCTAATATCTAACCTAAACCTTCCTTGCTGCAGATTAAGCCCATTGCTCTTGTCATGGAGAACAATTGATCCCCATCCTCTTTACAACAACCCTTAACATCTTTGCACACTGTTATTAGGTCCTCCTCAGCCTTCTTTTCTCAAGACTAAACATGACCAGGGTTTTTTTTAACCTTTCCTCAGAAGTCAGGTTTTCAAAACCTTTTATCATTTTTGTTGCTCTCCTGTGGACTCTTGCCAGTTTATTCACATCTTTCCTAAAGTTTGGTGAGCAGAGGCTTCACCAGTGCTGAGCAGATCGGGACAGTTACCTCCCGTGTCTTATATACAACACTCCTGTTAATACATCCCAGAATGATATGAGCCTTTTTCACAAGTGCATCATACTATTGACTCACATTCCATTTGTGATCCACTATAACTCCCAGACCCTTTTCAGCAGTACTACCACCTAGACAATTATTCCCCTTGTATAGTTATGCATTTGATTTTTCCTTCCTAAGTGAAGTAGTTTGCACTTGTCTTTATTGAATTTCACCTTGTTTATTTCAGACCAATAATCTAATTTGTCAAGGTAGTTTTGAATTCTAATCCTTTCTCCATGGTACTTGCAACCTCTCCCAGCTTTGCGTCATCTGCAGATTTTATAAGCATACTTTCTGTGATGGGCTGGGTCACAGAAACCCCCTTGGGACTGCCACCTGATGTGCTGGGACTACCTCTGAGCCCGTTTTCCCTGCCAGCTTGGGACTTCAGTACCCTGTCTTGTTGAGCCAGACATGCTAGCCTGCTGCAAACACAGAGCCACATCTGAACCATGTCTCCCAAAAGCTGCAGGCTTAACTGAAAACAGCTTAAGAAGTGCTCCTGTCTCTAGCACCCAGATACCCATTTCCCAATGGGATCCAAACCCCAAATAAATCCATTTTACTCTGTATAAAGCTTATACAGGGTAAACTCATAAATTGTCCACCCTCTATAACACTGATAGAGAGATATGCACAGCTGTTTGCTCCCCCAGGTATTAATACTTGCTCTGGGTTAATTAATAAGCAAAACATGATTGTATTAAATATAAAAAGTAGGATTTAAGTGGTTCCAAGTAATAACAGACAGAACAAAGTAAATCACCAATAAAAATAAAACAAAAACACGTAAGTCTAAGCCTAATACAGTAGGAAACTAAATGCAGGTAAATCTCACCCTCAGAGATGTTCCAATAAACTTCTTTCACAGACTAGACTCCTTCCTAGTCTGGGTTCAGCAATCACTCACACCCCCGTAGTTACTGTCTTTTGTTCCAGTTTCTTTCAGGCATCTCTTTGGGGTGGAGAGGCTGTCTTCTGAGCCAGCTGAAGACAAAATGGAGGGGTTTCTAGGGCCTTATATAGTCTTTCTCTGTGTAACATCACAGTCACAAGATGGGGTCTCTAGCCACCTGGGCAAGTCACATGTCTATGAATGATTCAGCTTTTTGCAGGCTGACGCCATTGTTTACATGTTAGTTTGAACATTCCCAGGAAAGCTCAGATGTGGATTGGCATCTCCCAAAGTCCATTGTTACTTAAGTATTCCCAATTACTTGAATAGCCCCTTCACACTATGCTGACCAAATCTGCCTTATGTGCTTCCTACAGCAAACACTTTAAATACAAGCATACAGCCAATGCTCATAACTTCCGATATAAAAATGATACATGCATACAAATAGTATGAATATATTCAGTAGATCATAACCTTTGCAAAGATATGTTACATGGTATATCTAGCATAAAACATATTTCAGTTATGTCATATTTACACTCATAAGCATATTTCTATAAAGCGTATGGGGTGCAACGTCACACTCTCCACTCCATAATCCAAGTCATTAATGAACATATTGAATAATATCAAACCCAGGACTGTGGGACTCCACTAGATACGCCCTCCCAATTCAACAGCAAAGCATTGATAACTGTCATGCATTCAGCAGAATGTGTTTTTATCACCTTGACTCCAACTGAGTGTAAAGGAAATCACATTTTGCCTCTATGTAAACAGATATGCACTTAAACAGTGGATACCAACAATTGTCTCCTCCAAGTTCAGTCGTGATTCCAGTGCAGCTCCCTTGTTCAACTTGGCTTAGAGAAAGTTGTGTTTCCCAACATTCCAAGGTCATACTTTGCCACTCCCCTTGGGCCACTTGCACCCAATCAGAAAGACCCACAGCCAGTAATTCTGGATGCAGAACACTGATTTAAAGTAACACACATTATCTGCCATTTGGTGAGTTATTAGCAGCTGTAGAAGTGTAGTTTAGCAGTAGCTGGTGCTGCCACATCCAGGTACTTGAACAATGTATTCTTCCCTCAGCAGTACATTTTGAGATTTGGATTTCACCTAGCAAAGAGTTTGCCTATTTGAGCAGAATTTCTCTTCTCTTTATTTCTTGCTACTAAGGGGTTATAAGCCCACAGAGGTACATGCAGTACCGCAGCCTACTGAAATCCAACATTCACATTCAAGATGTAGCACTGCCAGCATGCTGGGACTGATTGTGGACCTAGAATACCCTGCCACCTATCAGCAGCTTTGAGATTCTGAGCTCAGAGCCCTTTCATACTGCTCACCTCACCACAGCTGTTTTACCACAACATCCATTTTGTCTATCATAGGCATTTCTAATATACCCATCCCCGGGGTCTCTGCACAGGCCAGTCACATACAGTAAGAGCATTGCAGGGGCCAGATTCTGCACTGTATTAATTTTCCACTCAGTGCAGTATGGAGGGGGAGCTGGTTATGGCTCCCTTATTCTCTACCCAATCCTGGCGCACGATAAAGCACTCCAGGCTAGCATCAGTCTTTCAAAGACTGTCAGCCAGCTGATGATAGCCAGAGCATAATGTGATCTGGACACATCCACTTCCCTTCCCTCCCTGAGCATGCCCCTGTCTGCCTTTGATATGCCCTCTGAACCAGAGCCAGAAGGAGAGGGTGGACCAGAAGCCAGCTGTGCCAGCTGGTTGCCCACTGAAGACTCCCTCCAGCCAGGGAAATCCTCAGCAGTGGAGATTGGGCCAGATCCCACACCCGGATCAGTGCAAAGGGAACAGAGCCAGGCAAAGAACCTGTCTCAGTATGTCCAGTCATAATATCACATGCATTTCCTTGGATAGTTCTGCAGCTAGCAAACAAGTAGGAAATAAGGAATCTGTAAGCTCCCCTTCACCTCAGGAGGGCTGCACGATCTGAGCCAGCGATGCAGTCTGCTCCGGGCACCCTGCCCCCATAAGGGAAACATGGCTGTTTCTCCCACAACAGACTCAGACCTGCAGAGACTGTACCTCCGAGATGCACAAGGCTACGCCATAGTGGACAAGAAACAGCTGGAGAAGATCCTTCTGCTAAGTTACGTATGCAACACGGAGGCTGGTGAGTACTGGGGCAGCGGCACACCTGGGCATCGGCAAAGGATCCTTATCATGTCTCTGAGGCTTACAGTGATCATACGTCCCGTTTTGGCTGGGACAGTCCCTTTTTTAAGCCCTGTCCCGGCCATCCCAACTTTTTTTCCAAAAGGTGGGCATTTGTCCTGTTTCCTCTTGCTGACTTGATCAGTTGGCAAGAGCAAAATGGTCAAATGCCCTCTTTTGTCGCAAAAGTGGGGTACGGTGCTGAGGGGGCAAGTGGAGATATCAGCCTCCTGCAGAGGGGAAGGCAGGGCTGGGGGGAGGAAGCAGGTTCCAGAATTCCAGCATGTGTGGCCCCCCGTAGGGTTCCAGCAACAGGCAACAGCCTCCTGCGGGGACTATGCTCCCTCCCGCCCCCCGGTCAGGGTTCCAGGGATGGACATGGCATGGGGGAAGTGGGGGGCAGGGTTCCAGGAACTGGCAATAGCATGGGGGTGGGGGCTCTGGTGAGCCACTGAAGGTGTCTCATTTTCTCTTCGGGAAATATGGTCACCCTACTGAAGCTCATTTCTGAAAGAGGGATGTGCAGGTGCTTTCCACTGAGCGAGATGGCAGAACAGGCGAGGGGTATGCAGAATGGCAGGGGGAAAACCACATGTAGAAGAATAGGAGGTGGTGATTGGGCCAGGGAAATCATGGGCAGTGGGGTGACTGGGAAACAGTGAGGGATCATGGGAAGTGGGGTGAGTAGGGGGCTGGGTGGTAGTGAAAGGGACATGTTTGTATCACTTTCAGGTTTCCTATTCAAGTATGGCCAAAATCCCTCCTCTCCCAAACCAAATGGTGACATGCCAGCCATGCCACAGAATGCACTCCTGGAACATGCCCAGACACCATAGTGATGGGCACATTACAAGGACCTGGTAAAACAGAACACAGTTAAACCTTCCCCCAACCCTGCCTGTGCGGTCCCTGCCCCCCAGTGACCAACTAAGCTCCCACAATCTCCGTTCTGTGCAAGGGCAAATCCCCCAGGGTGTTAGGAAACTGTGCATTGTGCACTCATGCAGACTGTCTCACAAAGAGGCCAAGGCTCACGTGGGTCACTGGAACTGAATTCCCCTGTCCCCACTAGTGGTGACCCCTCCCAGTCAGAGCTGCGACCCGGGGTGGAGTAGGGGAGGGGCTAGCAATGGCACTGCCCAAGCTATGGATAAACAAAGGACTTTGATCTCCTAGGGTTACCATATTTCAGCGAGCAAAAAAGAGGACGGGAGGAGCCCCGCCCTAGCCCCGCCCT